GCTTTATCCACCGGAGGATGCAGAATGAACTGCCGGCTAAAATAGCTCGCGCATCTCTCCGGGTCCGACGAAGCGTGGTCACCAAAGTCTATCTCGACTCTGTTGTCGCGCTTCGTCGGGTTGGACAACGACCTCACGGTTGACCAAAGCTTGCTCACACCAGAAGCGAAGTTACAGGTCTTCAGATGCTCTTCCCATTTCTTCCGCTTATGTACGTTCACAAGTTGCCGAATCTCCGAATTGAGATCCCTAATACGGAGATTTCCGGGATCGACCTGACGAAGGTTGTCGCGCTCATCAGCTAGAACAGCCGCTTCGGCAGGAAAATTCGGACGTGGATCCTTAATACATCCTGCTGGGATGAAGCGAGCTGCAGCAGCGTTGACAACCCTGCGGAACTTACGTGCACCTACATAAACGTCGGTTGGTATGGGTAGTGCAGTGAAGGCGCCTTCAGTAACATCCGTGAAGCCTTTCCGAGTCAGCTTTGGAAAAGTTGACATAAGTCCGGTGATCCACGGAAGCAAAGTCGGCAGGTTTATCAATCGAGATGACTATGGGCAGATGGTCTGATGCTAGAGTCAGCATAGGTCGCGATGATACGCTGTTTATCAGACCAGCGCTGACAATTGTTAGATCTGGCGAGCTGCAGCAGCTGCCCATAATCCTGGTGGGTGCGTCGTCGTTCATTGTGCAGAATGTCGAATCGTCTATCTGCTCAGCCAGATGTATTCCCCTACGATCATTTGAGAGGCTTGAGTGCCAGAGATCGTGGTGCGCATTAAAGTCACCAACTACCATACGGTTTTCACCTCTGAGTAGCGCACCTATTTCAAGGTGATATCCTGCCGGGCAGCTGGTGACAGGGGGTATGTATACGTTAAATATTTCGAGCTCAACATCGTCTGACCGGATAGCAATACCCTGACATTCTAGGATGGTATCCCTGCGGTCGACGTCTGCTTCAATGAGACGATACTCCACGGTGTGGTGCGTGGTAAACGCTAAACCTCCACCATTATCTCGATCGCGATCTCGACGGTGCGCGTTGTATCCGGCGCAATTCAACAGGGTTGAATTGCCGTGCAACTTCGTCTCTTGGACCGCAGCTATTAATATTCCATGCCTTCCCATAAAGACAGTTATCTCCTCTATCTTGCTCTGGAGTCCGTTACAGTAAAATTGTAGCACCTTTGTGTGCCTTAGGAGACCGATTGTGATGTGTGGTATTAAAGAGTTGCTGTACGTGCTGCAAAAGGGGGTGCTGCCTTGTGGTGGTGGTTGGCGGCGTCGCGGGGGAGGGATGCGACGGGGCAGCACAGCAGGGGCCTACATAGTCGCTCGTCCAATCTCGTGTGTTGCGAAGTCCTGAGCACGCCATAAAGTGGCACCAGCCGAGGCAAGAGTTGCACTTGACTGATGTCACGTTACGGTATATTCTTGACTGACAGACAGAGCAGATTGTCGGAGGGACTAGGAGTTGCCGGCGGCGGTGTGTGGGTGCTATTGTGTTTGTTTGTGTGTCTATTGCTGTGTTGTGTTGGGGTGTGGGTGTGTTGATTGTGTGCTGCCCAGGCGGGTGGTGGTTTGCCGTGGAGGCGGTCCGGTTCGCACAGCATGGGGCCACGAACGACGTGGTCCATTGCCGGTGCGTACGCAGGCCCGAGCAGTTACGAAGGTGACTCCACCCGTCACAGTCATTGCACCTGACCGAAGTGGAGTTTGTATGCAGTCGTCTCTGGCATACGCAGCAGGTGTAGATTTCTGGCCCTGGGTTTGACTCTATGCCAGCCCTGAGCAGAAGGGTGCGGAGAAGGTGTAGCCCTAGGATCGAGCAACGTTTGATGGATTTCGCCGACCTAAACGGGGTTAGATCGCCGAAACAAAACAGCCCTTGGTCGGGTAAAACCCGAGTCATTCCGGTACGTAGAACCGGCTGTCGTGGGAATAGTAATCGCAGCCAGCGATTAACGATTAAAAAAATTTAATCATTAATCGTACAGTTGATTACGACTAATGAATTTTAATCGTCAAACGCGATTAACATTTTAATTGTTAATCGGATTTTTAGTATGTATTGCAGGCAACATGCCTCCTTTTTTAATAACTCACATTTTTTCCATGAGCAATTGATACATTTTGTATACACAATTCAATACAAAGTTCCAGTATTCTTCCACAAACACTTCCAGGTATATGTGGCAAGAAAAAGTCAATTTGTACAGGAAGTGCCACGCCCCTTTTTCTTATAACCCTTCTTCCATGAATTTAGAATTCAGTTTACATTCGCTTAGTACCAAGTCCCAGTACTCTACCATGAACACCTCTAGAGATATGCAGTATAAAACAGTAAATTTGTACGGGAGGAACCATGTCGCCTTTTCGAATAAAGCAAATTTTTCTCCATAAGTATGGAATTAATTTTGTATACACATCTCGGTGCCAAGTTCCAGTCCTCGGCAATAAACTCCTCCAGAGATATGTAGCACAGAAAAATCAATTTGCATGGGAGTTGCCACGCTACCTTTTCCAATAACTTTAATTTTTCTCCATGAGTAGGGTATTAGTTTCACATACATACATACATATGTATTTCCATACCAAGCTTGAGTACTTTAACCCAAACATTTGAAGTGATATGCAATCTGAAACTTTCAGTCAGTATGGGAGGTGCTACGCCCCTTTTTCAAAAACGTCCATTTTTCTCCGTGAATATGAATATGATTTCCCACAGTGTTGGCAAAACGGTAATCTGATTAACGATTAAAAATTAATGATTAATATGTTAATCGCTTTTGACGGTTAAAATTAATTAGTTGTAATCAACTGTACGATTAATGACTAAATTTTTTTAATCCTTAATCGCTGGCTGCGATTACTATTAATTAACTTTAATCATCAATCGTTGATCCAATTAAAAATAAAATCTGATTAAGTTGTCTAGTTTGTCCGAATTTGAAACCAAATACCAGTTATAGTAATTATTTTGCGTTTTACGCTTATAAAAAGCACATAATAATAAAAAGCATGTACAAAAAATTATAATTATTGTTAATAGTAATAGATTAACTGGGAACTTTTATAAACCTAGTTTGTAAAACGTTTGTTGGTACAGATCTGAAAATGCACACCAAATTGCTCAGATTGATGAGGAAATCCGACTTAGCCATACCGGATTAACTTGCTTTGTGTGCACAGGAAAATTCAAGCATAAATTAATTAATCACCTAACCTACTTGATCAAATTAAGAGTTAATGAGTTAATTTTTTTTAATCGCGGTTACGATTAACTGTTTAGTCAGATTAAAATAAATCATGATTAACTGTAATCGGATTGATTTTAATCGAATTAACTGATTGATTAAAAAATCAATTGATTAATGTCAACATTGATTTCACATACGTATCTCTATACCAAGTTCCAGTTCTCTCCCACTAATACTTCCAGAAATACGTATGTAATAAGGAAATTCCAATTTGTATGGGAGGGGCCTTGAGTTATCGAACTTACTTTCAGTCTAAGACCATCCTTGCGAAATCCGTAGTAAGTGTAGCAAATTTCGTTCTAATCGGGAAACCGGTTAATGAAGTAGCCTAATTTTTAATCCAGGTCATAAACCATCTGTGAGCAAAACTTAATTCTTAAACAGGTGGCAAATTCTTAAAAAAGTAGCCTATTTTCCAATCTAGGTCATATGCTATCTATGTGCAAACTTTCATGCAAATCTGTTGAGGCATTTTCGCGTATTAATTTAATTAAACATTCCTAATAGGTGGCAACTTTTAAAATAGTAGCCTATTTTCCAACATAGGTCATAAGCTATCTCTGCGTGAAATTTCAAATGCAAATCTGTTCAGTCGTTTCCGCGCATTAATTTAATTAAACTTTTTTAACAGGTGGCAACTCTTCCAAAAAATTAGCCTATTTTCCACTGTAGGTCATAAGCTATCTGCTTGCAAAATTTTATGCAAATCCGTTCAGACTTTTCCGCGTATTAGTTTAATTAAATTTTTTAGCAGGTGGCAACTCTTAGAAAAAGTAGCCTATTTTCCAACCTAGCTTATAAGCTATTTGTGTGAAAACCTCCATGCAAATCATTTCCACGTATTAGTTAAATTAAACATTTCTAACAGGTGGAAACTCTTAAAAAAGTAGCTTACTTTCCAACCTAGATCATTAGCTATCCGTGTGCAAAATTTCATGCAAATCCGTTCACTCGTTTCCGCGTATTAATTGAATTAAACTTTTTAACAGCTGCCAACTTTTAAAAAAAAGTAGCTTACTTTCCAATCTAGATCATAAGCTATCTGTGTGCAAATTTTCATGCAAATCTGTTCAGTCGTTCCCGCATATTAAATAAACTAAACTATTTTAACAGGTGGAAACTCTTAAAAAAAATACCTATTAACCAATCTGGCCCATAAGCTATCTGCGTACAAAATTTCATGCAAATCCGTTCAGTCGTTTCCGCGTGGTGATTTCCCAAACATCCAAAAATACAAACTTTCACATTTATAATATTAGTAAGATAAGATTAAAACTAACCCGTTGATTTTTGAACTAACGTCCTTAGCTAATCGGATTCAGCGATATAATTTTCATAAATTTACGAAACTGGAGCCTACGATATATGTATACAGTAATAGATTTACGTGTGCATAATGAAACAGATAGTTTCCAAAAAATAGTTTATACTGGAAATGCCTTTCCATTTCTCTTTTCGTTCGTCCTTCTGCTTTCGTAGATTTTCTGTATGTCATCATTTCAAAGACACACTGTCAACAACTGATTATACATATATTTTAACTACCAAGAAAAAGAACAACTTATAAATGTGCACGACGCTAATATGTCGGCCCGATAAATGAACTGAAGGTTTTGTTCAATAACTTTCTTTCTAAATGCATATTTTTGAATACTCAAACAAATAGAGTTTTTTGCTATTTAAAAAGAACTTTTCAAAACATATCTTAATTTGATATCCTCCTTCTAATTACAGAGCTTCCTGAAATCATATTGGCACCTGAGAGTCAAGTAATAAATTCTGGAAAATCCTTTACCTTAGAATGTGATGCAGACGGAGACCCTACACCCAATATTTTATGGTTGTTCAATGGATATCCATTAAAACAAGATGGCCGTGTAACATTAGACAATGAAAACACCGAGCTTACGATAGACAATGCATTAAAAGAAGATACAGGTAAGAGTTCTAAACTTATATTGGATTCAAAAGGCATTTAGTGCCGTTTGTAACCTCAAATGTTAACTGACTTCCATAATGTCAAATGTGTACCTTTCCAAAACGCTACCAAAAAGTTATTGAAAAGCAAGGTTTATACAGTAAACCCGCTTAAGTACCTCACGAAAAATGTCAGCTTTTTGAGGTACTTAGGCGGGTTGGGTACTTAAAAGAACCCGCTTAAGTACCTCGATTCGGGTACTTAAGCGAACATGATTTAAATAAAATTGAGTAAAACATGAACATTTATTAAAGTATACGTAATTTAAAACCTAGATTGTAGCATTATTTAAAGAAAGAAACATATAAAGGAAAACTTTGTTTAAAAAAAAAACAGTTAAAACATTGTTATGTCAATTTCACAAGAATTTGATTTAAAAGTCATTGATTACATATATTTATAAATACCCAAAAACAGGGTATATCATTTTGGAACAACATTAAAATGATATTGTTTGCCTTTTATGTTAATTTATTAATTTTTAAAATGTTTTAATTAAAAAAAATTCATTCCCTAACAAATTTTATAGAAACTTAACATGTAAGCATACAATTTTGCAGAACACTGAACAAAGGTCATCAAAATTTCAAACTTGTTTTTCAGAAGTGTTAAAATTTTTTATGAGTATGCAGTTTTATGGCCCATTCAATTTTAGTGTAATAATGCGCAGGTTTCAAGTGGCTAAAAATTACCATTGATATTTTAGAATTCCTTTTGCCAAAAGTGTCTAGCGCTGCCACTGAATTTCAAAATATGTAAATGTTTAAAGAAATTTCAAAAAAGCACTTAAAGGGGGAAAATTATAAGTAAAATGGTAAATGTAGTACGAAAAATGTAGGTCCTTAGGCGGGCTGGGTACATAAGGGCGGAGGTACTTAAAAGAGGATTTTTTTTCAGAATACATTAAAAAATTCATGGTGTCCAAAAATGTTGGGAGCTTAAGCGGGTTAGGTACTTAAGCGGCGGGAGGTGGGTGGTACTTAAGGGGGTTTCACTGTATATAAGACAATGATGAAATTGTTGGTATAATTGTCCTTTTTTGATACATTTTGAGGCACTTCACCGCGGCCACCTCTAAGGATTTGGATGAAAGTTGAAGAGATTTAAGGTCTAGGGAATATACGTCCAGCATATTTTGCCGATATGACATAGGGTTGCCTATTTACACGGAACTTAAATTTCAAGAAAACGTCATAGATACCTTTCTTTAAAGTGCTGTGTCTTGGAAATCTTTTAACGAAACTTAGTGAAAAAAATGTATTTCTTCCGTCTTATTATGGGCTTAAATTATACATTTTGTACATTAATGTGCAACGTATAAAAAAACAAAAAAAAAAATAAGTAAAAATTTTTCGTTTTGATTTTTTGTGATTATAGCATTTAAAAGTTTGTTTTTTTTGTTTACAAAAAACATTCTCTACAATGCCAGCGTAATGGGCTACTTAGGCGTGTGGACTCTAGATCGTCTAACGCTCGAGGAATATGATAAATAGACATTGAAATTTTATGAAATTGTATATTTTTGAAAGAGGAAAGGTGTGTAAAAAACAAAAACAATATGAATAAATTATATAAACTTTACTATAGGTCTGATATCCCTTCAAGGAAATGGCAGAATTGAACTTTTTAGCAAGTTCACATGGGAAATCTGCTTGCGATGGGATTGGTGGAAGTTTTAAGAGACTAGGAGCTAGAGCAAGTCTTCAACTCCTGACGTTAGAACAAATTCGTACACCCAATGCCTTCTACCAATGGGGTAAGAATAATTTAGAGAAAAAGAAGGTGCTGTATGTTTCCAATATGATGTCTGTAAGAAATAACTGCAACTAACTTTACGGTGACTTTATTTCGACTATGACTACGTGCAAATTACTTTAATCCTATATTAAGCTAGTTTAAAAGGTTAAATAACATCAAGGAACTTCATATCCATCTTTAACGAATCTTTAAATCAATTGAGGTATTCACAACGGTGTCGTAAGTGTCATATAGTTGTTTGTCGTAAACTTTAAATGCGTAAAAAATATATTACGGGGGTTCGCAAAGTGCCATCAAAGTGATATTATGAATTTTGGCAGTGTTCAAAAATATTTGACTGTGATTTCAGGTTCTCTATACATTTATTTAAGCTTTAAAAGTTTACGACATACAACAATACGACACTTGCGTAACCGTTGTGAATCCCTCAAGCCGAGAAGCTTTTTTAAAAACGAAGTAAATTAGTACAAATTGTATGTAATTTTCATTAGAGTTTGAGGAACTCCTTTTACTATGTGGCTTTAAGTAACTTTAACGAGACCTTAACTTATGTTATTTTATTCATTTTAGTGCAGTTTTAAAAAAATTTTCTTGCTAGAAAATCTTTTGTTACACTACTTTATTTTATTCCTTTAATTGTACATGTTAATTAGAAGCTTGTTTTTAAAAAATATTTTTTTAACATTATTTTATTTTGAACTTTTTAGTTTTATTTTATATAACCAGGACATAATATTTTTATTAAGGGCTGACTCTCCATTTATGAGCGTAGTACATTTAATATAAGCGGCGTAAATCCTTTCGATCATCTGTTTAGGCTGAGAAAAACACGTTGAGTCCAGGTAGCGAAAAAATTGTACGATGGAAAAAATGGCGGAAAGTTGGCAACTGTTGAACTGAGCGGAACTACGCAACTTTGCATTTCGAGGACAAACAGTAAACGGTTAGACAATCTTAGTCTTATGAACGCGCCCAAAGTATCACGAATTAGGGGCATTATCAGAAATAAATCGGTGTCTTATTTAATTTAAGCATTCAGTTCAAGTACAAACCACACACCAGGTAGGTGCTCTACAGAAATTCGTATAGAAATATCCCAAGGTTAACAGCTGATTTATTCAAAATAATTTCCGGTATTTTATCTTACCAAGGTATTCACAATAGAATCTATCATGCACACTCTGTAACTGTTAAAATGAACAAATCTTGTGATCCCTGCTTTAGATGAAGATAAACCTAGGGACCTGTGAAAATATTAAAATTTAAAGCTAAGTGCCTAGTATACATTAGGTTGTATGATTGTTGTGTATGTGGAGATTCTTCCCAATTATTTTGAAATTTGTACACACTCATGTATACACAGCAGCAAGCTCATGCCACCAACAGCGATGTCGAACCCTGTAAGAAACCCCTAACTGGTGTACCAAATTTATAGTTCCGTACTAGATCTTTATCGCCAGAAACGAACCAGCCCGATACTAACAAGTTCAAAAGCAGCGAGATGTGGTATTTTGTTTTTTTGTTTTTATTTATTGAATCTTTCTTTCGAAACTAACAATCAGTTTGCAAATCTTAAAAACTACTATTAAATTTAAAACTTCGGCGGCAATGCTTAGATTTTTTTTTTATTTTTTCATACATATATATTTATTACAGCTGTTGCGGCTGTCGGAATGGACAAGATTCCGAGCAGCAGGATCGCTGGATATCGTGCTGGGCAGGCGGTCTGAAAGGACGAGTTCCAGAGCCGAAATTTTTATATTGCGGATATCGAAATTTATTATATTGCGCATCATTTGATAATATCGGAGATATCCTTTCTTTTTATTCTTCTTGCATATCTCGGGCTAAAAAGATCTCAACTAGTCGATTTGGATGGTTCATTAAGTGTGCTGAGTAACTGGTGCTTAGCCCTCTTATGTCCTCATGCACCGTATTTACATTAAATCTTTGGGGATATTCGTATTTTTTATGTACCACGGTGCTCCGCATATGGCGCGTAAAATTTTTGACTGAAGTCTTTGAAGTCTGTTCAAAATGGAATTGCACGCTGTGCCCCAAAGCCCGATTCCATATGCCCAACATGGTTTAATCATCATATTAAAAAGCAACATCTTGTTATCTAATTTAGATTTGTGTCCTATAACCCTTTGAAGGCTTGCTTGTGTTAGTTTCGCTTGAGAAATTTTGGTTTCTATTAGCTTTTTGCAGGTAAGTCTTCTATCTAGTGTCATCCCAAGGTATTTTACATTATCTTCTTGTGGTATAGCCTTGCTGTTTATTTTTAGTGGTGGGCAAGTTTCTTTCTTCAAAGTAAACGTTGTCTGAACACGATTGCTTTCCTTAATCTTTATCCTCCAAGAACTTAGGCATAGCTCTAACTTTTTCAAATATTCTTGAAGCTTGTAAGAAGCTTCTTTAGGGTCATCAGAAAACGTCGAAATGGTTAGAATATCATCAATTGGCAAATCACGAGTGTATATTACGTACAATATGGGTCCTAGAACACTGCCTTGATGGACACCTGCATATATCCCAGTCCTTGGAACTTATTAATCTATCTTCTCCATGCCCTCAGGCATTGGAGCCAGCGGTATCTAAAGCCATATCCACTAGGTCTACTTCTAAAAATAGTCAAACCGTTGATTTAACTGTGTTGCCATCAACATCTCAAGCTGCACTGTCTAACTTTGATCCTCCGAATAATTCGGAGCCCGCACATCAGACATCATTACCAAAAAGTTGGTTCTAATTCCTCTGAAAAGATCGATCTTTGTCTCTAGATTTGCTAAAGATACTTCTTCGGATGGTATAAAGTCATACATATCCACTAAAATTAGAACTAATGATGTATTTATTCGTAAATTTAATTTTAAATACGATCGCGATATTTCATGTTTTAAAATTGATGTAGCTTCCGAAGATTTTGATTCACTACAAAATAGGTCATTTTGGCCGACCGAGGCGTTTGTTCACGAGTTTGAGTATAAACCTAATAAACTCGCAAGTCTAATTTAAGTATTTACTATCAAAACATTAGAGGTTTGAATACCAAATTAACTGACTTATATTTAAAAGGTTTTGACTGCAATTATAATATTATTTCCTTGACCGAAACATGGCTCAAACCTCATATTTTTAATTCCGAAATTCTTCCAAATTAATACCAAATATACAGGAGTGACCGCGTGGGCAGAATCGA